CAAAGTGATTTACATCTGAAGGACTACCAGAGTAGCCGTCCCATTTGGTGACAACCCCTTACGAGTGCCTCCAGAAGGGTGAAGTTCCGGGGATACCAGCACGTGCCTTCTCCCGGACGTCGTCGAGTCATCCAGATCGGTTCCCGTCCACATACCAGCACACACAATTACACCTACACTCACAACACACCAAGCACAACTTTCATCAGCCGGGCCGGTCGAGGAGAACCGTCTGCGCTCCTGGGGCAGGTAAGTGCATTTATTCTAGTGACCTTTCCCCTCGTGTGTTCATTAGAAACCTTTGACCCTCGGCGTAGGAACGCCCGACCTGCATCTGCCCGTGGCTCCTTCGTCTATGGGCCGCGAAGGATCCAACTCCTGTTGAGGCAGGGCAGCTGTTGGCCGTAACAGGCCCACTGCCACTTCAGCTTACTAATCCGTTGGGATATGTCGGCTACTCTGGTTCTACTGCGGATATACTCATTTCTAAGTTTATCACGCAGAGAAACCCCAAGCATAGCCTTCTCCATAGCTCGCTGAGCGACCTTGAGCTTCCTAATACGGCCAGCAGTGAAGGACCACGTCTCAGATCCGTAAGTCATCACTGGCACCATGCACTGGTTGTACAATTTCGTTTTAAGGTTTTGAGGTATGTCTGGCGAGAAGATGTGTCGTAGTTTCCCGACGCTGCCCAGCCGAGTTGAATCCGTCGATTGACCTCTCGGTCGAAGTTGGATTTACCTAGTCGGACTATTTGTCCCAGGTAAGCATACTCGTCAACAACTTCGAGCTTAGTGCTCCCAACAACTACCGGCATAGGTGTACATGAACATTAAACATGATCTTTGTTTTGTCCATGTTCATCCTAAGACCTATTCGTTGGGAGACACTGTTGAGGTAATTGAGCATGGTGCTTAGTTCCTCCAGCGATTCTGCCATAAGAACTATATCGTCGGCAAATCGAAAGTGAGTGATGTACTCGCCATTGATGTTAATATCGTATCCTTTCCAGTCCAGAAACTTGAAAACGTCTTCCAATGCAGCGGTGAAGGATTTCGAGGATATAACATCACCCTGTCTTACACCTCTCTGCAATTGGTTAGGTTTCGTACTCTGGTTCTTTACTCGGATAGTCATCGCAGCTCTACTGTACAAACACTTCAGCACTTCGATTTACCGACAGTCAACTTGGCACCGTTGAAGGGACTGCACCACCGCCCAAATTTCGACGGAATCAAAGGCTTTCTCATAGTCCACATACGCCAGACATAGTGGCAAATTGTACTCTTCGGACTTCAGTACAATTTACCGAAGGGTATATATGTGGTATATATGTATGTATAAAGCCCTTTCAGAAACCGGCATGTTCGGGAGGCTGGAAGTCGTCAAGTCTGTGCGCGAGAGATTCATAATGACTCTCGAAAACAGCACGTAGACGCGGCTCAGAAGGGAAATCGGTCTGTAGTTCTTCAAGAGAGCGTTGTCGCCTTTCTTGAAGAACAAGACCACCGCACTTCTGCTCCACGCCTCCGGTGTAATGCCACCATGGAGGACGGAATTAAAGAGCTTCTGAAAGACTTCAAATACCGGTCTTCCACCCGCTTTCAGAAGCTCCGCTGTAGTTCCATCCTCGCCTGGGGCCTTGCCGTTTTTAAAGTGCTGGAGAGCCATTCTAATCTCGCTCAGACTGACGTCCGCGATATCTTCGAAATAGTGTCGGATAAGACTCGCTCTTGGATCGTTACTCACACTTGCGTGTGGCTCCAACGATGACGTGTGCAGCTGTCCATAGAACCTCTCAATCTCACTCAAAATGTCAGGTGCCCCGGAAACGATGCTGCCACACTCAGTCTTCAGCTTTGACAGTTGGCTCTTTCTGGCAGACAGATCTCTGGCAAAGACTTTGGAACCTTGGTTCTGTTCGATCGCTTCTTCAATACAAGCTGTATTGAAGTTGCGTAAGTCCCGCCACATGCATTTGGAGATCTGTCTATTCAGTTGCCTGTATGCTGTCAAATCTGTTGAAAAATGTAGCTTCATCTCCCGTCTAACAGCCATGAGATTAAGAGTGTGATCGGAGAGTTTTTGTGTTCTTCTGCGGCGGGTCTTGCAGAACTTAGCTCCGACCGCATGGACAGTTTCCACGAGCTTGTCATTCACATCGTACACTTCATTGCAGTCTTCTAGGCACTGAAAACGGTTTTGTAACTCAAACTGAAAGGTTTCAGGACTTTGGAACAGAGCACGAGAGGGACGGAGCATTGACTTCATTAGACGAGACCTCTCTAATTTAACGTTTAGGTTCAGTGTGCCTCTAACCATTCGGTAATCGCTACCAGTTTTCACCCTCGCGATCACGGAGACATCACTGAACTGTTGGCGTCTGGTCATCATAATGAAGTCAATCTCATTTTTTGTCGAACCGGCTAGGCTCGACCAGGTCCACTTCTTTTGGGGCCGCTTCTGGAAGAAAGAGTTCATCATAAAGAGTCCTTCTTTTTCCATAAATTCGGCCAGCTGCTGGCCCTTTGGGTTCCGTTGCCCTATTCCAAATTTCCCTACTTCAGCTCACCGTTCTCTCTTGTGCCTAGTTTTGCATTGAAGTCTCCCATTAACACCGTATATTGGGTTTTGGAGGAATGCATGGCTCTAGAGATATCCTCATACATTTCCTCCACCTCCACATCGGGGTGTGCCGAGGTTGGTGCGTTAACCTGTGTGACCTTCAACGAATACCGTTTAGTGATTCTGAGTATAAGGTACGCAACCCTCGTCGACACACTCTCAATCTTTACAACGTTGTTAACGAGAGACTTGTGGATGTTAAATCCGACACCTCCTTGGGACAGATGGTCGCCCTCCCGGTGATAGAGCAAGTTGCCGGATTCGAGGATTACCGTGTCCTCCCCCTCTCTTCGGACTTCGGATAATCCTATAATATGTCAGCGTAACTTGTCTATCTCTTCTTCCAGCTCCACGATCTTCTCGGGCAGTCCTCAGGGTGCGTGCGTTGTATGTTGCCAGGTCGAGTCATCTTAGGTGGCAACCGAACCTCCACCGGAGATTCTTAGCACCCATGCCCTGCCGTTACCATGGTCGCCACCGTAGCCAGGAATAGCGGGGTTCCGGGGATCTGTGGACCTTCTTTTTGTTGCTCCAATCATTGGGGGGTATTTGCTATAGTTGCCACGCTTGGCGAGCGAGTTGGCAACCGTAGTTTTTTTATTGTAAGTTTGTTGTTATCAGGAAGATGCTGCTGCTCATCTCTTGCCTGTTTCCCTTTGTCGCCTTTTACGACACCCACGGGAAGATATGGGGTAGTGAATATTCTTAACGGCAACTACACGGCACATCTTTAATATAAGTGGTTTCAAATAAAATTGTGAAATTCGTTTCAGTAATTTTTAATTGTTTTGAAAATAAGGCGATTGCTACCAAGTTATTTTTAACATAATTTGTATAATTGATTGGCTAATATATATTATGTTAGATTAGATCCATACACGACTAACGTCGGTTTTAATAAATACCCCATCCTGCAACCCACAGGAAAAAAGGCATTTATATATCCCCATTTATGTGTTTTAAATGTATATAATATTGTAGTTTTATATGATACTTTTTGCATTAATATGATGTTATTTAATTAAAAATATTATGTTAGTTAAAAGTGTCACTCAAGATATATTTTCTGTGTGTTGTTCGACAGTTCTCATTCTTTTCCTTCCTCGTCCTCTTTTTTGGCGATAATTTAGTGACTGTTGTGTATTCGGAGTATCATTTGTGTTAGATGAGTTCGGTGCGTATGATGATTGTTTTGTGTCCATTGTATCTGGTGATTATTGCATGCTTTGTATGTGTTTATCTTGGATGTTTAGTGAATTTTGTATATTCGATGTGCCTGCGGTGTTTATTGAATCCGTTGTGCTTGGTGACTGCTGCATGTTTGATGACTGTTGGGTGTTCTGTATATGTAGATGGTCTTGTTGATTATGAACGAATACAGTATCACCTAGCACTTTGGTGAGTATAGTTGATGTGTGAATAGCTGCTTGTTTTTGAAGGATGCTAAGGTTAATATGACTATTCAATTTATCTATGTATTTCTTGATACTTTTAGCAACTACTACCGTTGCTCCTATTACTTTGGGAATGACAATGGCTTGTGTATTCCACAGACGACTAACTTCAGTTTTCAGCAGGTGTTATTTGCTTAATTCGTCAGTTTCCTTGGGTCCTATATTGTAGTCTGATGGTACAGTTATATCTATTAAGAATGTTTTATTACTAATTTTATCAATATAATATATTAAATCAGGCCTATTGTGTATTACAGTAATATCAGTTTGGACGGGCATTTCCCATGATTTTAGCAAACTCATTTTCTTTAATTTGTGGCTGGATGAAGGTTTCTTTTCACCAAAGGTTAGAAGCTTCTATTTTGTTCTTTTTAGCCAGACACCAATAGACATACTGGACAAGGTTATCATGGCGTTTTACATAATATTTCCCTGCTAGTTTGTCGCATCAGGATGTTATGTGCTGTGCATTTTCCATCTACTGGCTCTTTAATATATCACGTTGATATTGCCGCGTAATAATTGCCTGGTCTTGTATTGCAAATATTGATGACTCTATACTTGGAGATACCTGTTGCTTTTTAAACCATTTATACGAAAGTTCTATGTCTATATTGGCCTGATCTAATACTTTTTTAGGAAATTGTCCATGTAAAGGCTTTTGCCGCCACAGTTCATTGTGGTGCTTAACTATTGCCATTTTAACCTCTTTGTCCGTATAATATGTGTTTCCTAGTGATAAGTGTAATTCTCTATCTATCTCTTGTGCTTCTTTTATTATTGAATATTTGTCCCTATGTGTATCGTGTTGTATTATTAATTTAATAAGATAATTGCTTTCTGTTTTCAGATATTGCTTATATTTAACTATTTGTGCTTTATACGTGTGCTCTATATTTGTCAGACCTCTTCCTCCTTGTGTCACAGGTAAGTATAGCCTTTTTGTTTCTGTTTTTGCTGATGTACCTTTTTAACTGCAAGTAGTTTCCTAGTTTTTATATCTATTTTCTTAAGGTCACTATTTTTATAATTTATAATACCAAATGAGTAAAGTAAAACTGGAACTGCGTATGTATTAATACCTTTTATCAGATATCGTGAGTTGAGATGTGTGTTCAGTAGTTTCTTGATTCTTTTAAAATATTCTTTAGTTATTTGATCTCTTATGATGCTGTGTTCTATTTTTCCTGATTCATGTATTCCTAAATATTTATATCTATCTCCTATTGCAAGTTGCTCAAACGTTTTCCCGCTTAAAAGTATATGACCTTCTCCTATTGCATTGCTTCTATATCCAGAACTCAGGTGTATTATTTTGCACTTGTCTAGTCCAAATTGCATTCCTACGTCGCTTGTAAATACCTCCACACTATCAAGAAATACTTTCAAATTACTGTTATTGTTTGTATAAACTTTAAGGTCATCCATGTATAGTAGGTGATTGATCCAGAAACTGTCCTTGAATTTATATCCTTTCAGTTCATATTTTTTGAGTATATACGAAAGTGGGTTAATAGCTAAGCAGAACAACAATGGTGAGAGGGAGTCACCCTGGAAAATTCCACGCCTAACATAAATCGGTTCTGTGGTAACTGAATCGTGTGACCCACGGGCCGTCATGATCACCCTCCATAGTGGCATAGCCAACTGAAGAAATCTCTTAATCATGAGTGGACATTTATAGACATCAAGTACCTTAAGAAGCCATTCGTGAGATACACTGTCGAAGGCTTTTTGATAGTCAATCCATGCCATACACAGGTTTTTTGAGCTTGATGTGCATCCTCCAATATGGGCTTATTAACCATTAGATGGTCTTTACATCCCCTAGCACCACGGTGACATCCTCGCTGCTCTACGGCCACTATATTATTTTTATCGCAATGGTTATTCAATACGTTGGCTAATACGGAAGTAAGTAATTTGTACATACTCGGTAAACATGCTATTGGTCTCCAGTTCTTTACGTTTTCGGTGTTTTCATTTTTAGGTATTAATATTACTTGTCTTGTAACGAACCATCTTCCATTACATCTGTACCTGTAACTATTTTACTGAATAATGAAGCTAAGTGTCTATGAACACTGGTTAGGTATTTTAAATAATAATTTTGTATTTTATCTATCCCAGGTGATTTCCAATTTAACAGTTTTCTGATTGCGAATTTTACTTGTTCCTCTGTTATCTCTTGTATATCTTCTCTATGAATTTCACTTGACAGCATTTATTTTTCTTTTATCCAGTTAGCATCGAAATTATATTGCGTTCGGTTTGATAAAATTGAGTTCCAAAATTCTTCCACTTCTTCTTTATATATAAATGCATCCTAAAATTCTGTACAGTCTATGCTCATTTTCATTAAATAATCTATTCTGGATTTTTCTAGTGTTAATGTCTTCGTATCTCTTTATTCTACCTGCTACAGCTTTAACTTTTGCTTAATTGTTTCTGTTATATTATTGTGATCATTGTCGTTCTGAATATTGTATTTTATATATAACTTTTCTTTTATTTTCATCATCCTACGTGTTTTGATTCCCTTTTCAATTTTTGTAAACTATCCTAATTCCTTCCTAAACTTTTCTATTTTAGCTTGTATTCTTTTTTCCATGGTGGATCCCATTTTGGTTTGATAATATTAGTAGTGGTGTAAGGTTTTTGATTGTTGTTTAATATAAGAGTTTTAGCCGTGGCGTATATAATATTATTTATTTCGCGCAGACTATTATTAATAATTAAAAGATTAGGTAAATACTTATTTAATGTGTGCAGATTTTCTAAGAAACATTTATTGATTTTAGCTTTAGGTAGAAATACTCGATCTTCAAGTATCGTTTCATTAGTTTCCGCTAATATTTGAAGAAAGTGCAAGATTAATGGATCTTGATCATCATTTACCTCTATATTATTTGTCATCTGTTCTATTGTTTCTGCTTGTTCAATTGTGTCTTGTGTATGTTGTAAAATTTGTTCTGTTATGTGTGTGGGTGCAGGTATATCTTGTATTCCGATGTCGTTTGAATTTGAGTTATCTACAGGTGTGATACCTTCTGCTTCTTTTTGTATTCAGCTTAGTAGTTCTTGTGACAGTACATTTTGCTTAATGATCCTTCGTCCTTGATTTGAGAAAGTGTTTACGTTAAACTTATGAATTCAAGGTTTATTCGGGTTTCTTTCTGTGAAAAGTTTCTGTAGTCTGCCTATGTATCCTGGTCCTATTGATCTTGCTTTAAAGTAACAAAACATTAATTCCTGAAGTTCTTCTGTAGACCATTTTATTCTTCTATCATCACTTTCTGCATTATTTGTGGTCGTTGTAAATGAGCCGGGAGATCTTATAGGTAAATCCCTACTCTGCATAACATCATCCACCCCCGTCTCTTCCCGTTGATCGGCTGTAATATTTTCGAGTTTCCCGACTCTCGCCCGCCTGCTCAGCAGAGAGCCGCTGACGGCCCTTACGCTGTCACGTCCAGCATCAGCTCCAGTCGTGCCCCGACGCTCACCCTCGGGTAGCAGCCCTATAATAGTACTACGCAATTGTCTATCCATCATTAAAAGTAGCTAGAGCTCCGTTGGTCATTGGTTCAGTTAATTAAAAGTCCAATGTCCGGCCCTCACGTGGCATAGATGGTCATGCGCGGACTTGGAGTTAGACTTGTGAGGGTCATATATATTATGTTATTATATTTAATAATGAATAATGTTATTATATTATAATAATAAATAATGTTATTATATATTGACCATTTTTTTTTAAATATATTGTTGGGCTTCTTGCTGCATTTTCCCAGTTCAGAGGCATATTTTGAACTAGTTGTAAATTAAACATAAGAATATCTTAATATATTATTTATAATCATTATTGAGTAAAAAAATCTATTTAAAATTCTTGACTCTCCGGCCAATGTCTTCGTTTAATTTTTATCCACCCGAGAAATCCCGGATATAGCTCTTTACATTGCTCGTTTAGCGACTTTGAGTCTGGGGAGCATTTTATATTAAAATTAATAATAATACGTTAATAATTATTATAAACTATTTATTTGTAAAATTTTATCAACCCATCCTTACTAGTTAAAATGTTCCTCGGGTCTCTACACCTGCCATACGAAACACGACAGCATTAAAATGTTATATATGTTAATATTTACAATGTCAATATTTATTTACGCTGGTACCTATTCTGTAGGAGTGTAGTCCGTTTTCACTCGAATTCACTCAATCATGATGCAACCAAAAATCAGTCGCATTTTTACTACCGGTTAGTGCAGTCGCTTCATAATGACGTGACGGCTCTAATGCCGAACTTACAGTATTTTTTTGTAGCGTAAGCATACCTATTGCGCAAAAATAATTCGAAATGGCGTGTCAAACTAAACGTTCCGAAACCGTCGTAATCCACGAGTTGCTGGCCTTTGTTCAACAAAAGTTGGACGTCATGGACCAGGTGTCTCTGGAGCAGATACTGATGACAAGCTTCACCGAGGACGAGATCATCCAAGCGAAGAAGGTGTTAGCAGATTCAGCCGTGACCCAAATCCGTCTTATCACACGTCACAGGGATGGACGCGGTAAGAAAGACCTGCAAGACATCTTCAGGCTGTTCAATGAGACCGACCCTGATGACATCCCAACTTTCGTCGCGCGTGATCTCAACAAGCTGCCTCCCGTGACGTTCGATCACGTAGACGTCACCAGATTGTTGAAAGACATCACCACGTTGAGAGCCGATATTACCGACATCCGTTCCAAATTTGAGGAATCAGAACGAGCCGCAACAGAGCTTAGGAACGAAGTCATTATGTTGCGCAACATAATTGCAACATCTGCAAATTCACCGCCGTCGCAGAATGTGAATACGACACGCGGTAACCGTAATAGTAGTCATATTTCACCGATGATTGCGACTCCGTCACGCGATACCGTCTGTCAGCGAGTTGATGACCGAGAAACTAGGGCGACCTCGGTCGTCATTGCATCACCACCTCAACCCTTGACTGAACCCATTGGTACTCCTCCGCCGAAGCCAACCTCAAAACAAGGGAAGACGTTTGCGGATATTGCCCGAAAATCTTTACAACCGGCACCCTCTTGTGGACGAAAGCGGAAGAATGTGGAAATAAAATCAGTTCCAGTGGTGACCCAAGACAAGATTGATAAGGACGGGTTTACTCTTGTTGAGAAGAGACGTCGGTCGCGACCCGTCTGTAACCAGCGTGGGACCGCGAAAATAAACGCGAGTACAACTCTGCGTGCTGTGGAGCCAACCATACAACTCTACATCTCCCATTTGGACAAAAGTACGTCGGGAAAAGACGTCCTGCGCATCGTGGAAGAACGAAGCCGATGCCGCATTGAGGAACCGATCTCTTTACATTTGCAGCGTCTGGAGACTAATAGGTCAACGAACTTCAAATCCTACGTACTCCAGGTTCCTGCAAAACATAAAGAGACATTCCTCGATCCCAATTTTTGGCCCTCTGGGGTAGTGTTTCGCCGATACAGGGACGCGCCAAAGAAAAAAGTTCCCTAATTAGTGTTAAGTTATGTCTATATTTTATATATATTTTTAGGTTAAGGTATATATTGCTATGGACCAATGTTCTTAATTTTTAAGTCCTTGATGCCTGAAATAAAGTTATTGTATTGTATTGTATTGTTTTGTATAATATATGTAACTGTAGCGTAGTTCCACAATGTTGAAAAACATAACATAAATACATGATCATACTCTGGCTTCAAGTCCAAGGTCATTAAACATATTTCTCACCGATCTAAATGTCAAGTTTTTATACCCACTGCTATTTGTACTGATGTTGGAAGCTAATAAGTAATCTCGGAGAATGGCACTTTGCACTTAAATACAGAATTATCTTGTATTATAAATTTGATTTTAAGAAACGGAGTGTATAATCGAACAAAAAGTGTAAAAAGATACCATACAAAAATATTTTTGAAATTTACCTCTAATCAAGTTAGATACGTATAATTGAAATTATTGTAAAGGTAGCTTAAGTAAAGGTCGCTTAGTGCAAAAGCATTAAATACATTATACCTTATGAGATTTTACATACGTAAAATTTGATTACTATTACTAAATATTAATACATAAAACGGTAGAACATGTTTTATCTAACTGACCCTGGCAGACATTGTTTTGCCTTTTTCGGTAGATGGCGTGATGAGTTTTCTTATGCATTCGCACTGGACTTTAATAAGGTATTAAAATTATATATACTTTTACATTATCGGATCAAGATTTTGTGATTTTCTTTTTTGGCACTAAAGAAACATTTTTTTTGGTCAATATAAATGTAAATTTATTTAAAAAATTGATTACAGTGCCATATTATATCGGATCCTATCATATGATAGTTCATATATATATATATTAACTTTAAAATATTTTAAGGCACGCCGCAGCTATATAATGGTTGTAATATATATGGGACAGCTCTTCCAGGGAAGGACCACACACACACAGAGTACAAAATTAAAATAGCAGTTTAATGCTGTGGTGTTCCGTATGGTGAATATAAAGGACCGGAGACCTTTTTTCGCTTGAAACGAGACATTTTCCAATTGTTTTCGTGACACCACCTCGCCAACTTATGCAAGTCAGCTTGCAGGAGATTCAC